ACCGCATAACGGTGCCTCCCATTCCTAACTCACCGAGTCGCCGCAGCATGATACCGTGGTCCACAGTATCAAAAGCCGCTGAGAGGTCCAAAAGAACAAGGACAGAGGAATAACCCCTGTCCCGGGCCCTCCAGAGATCATTGACCAACGTGACCAATGCCGTTTCCGTGCTGTGTCCCGGCCTGAAGCCCGACTGGTAATTTATAAAAAACTGTTCCTAAATCCAAATAAGCTCCTGAGGAAGATTGTTCTTGCCATTTCGTAAAGCACCATCAGATTGTGTAAGGGCACATTTGATTTTGTGTCTGTGCATGCATACATACATATATACATTTTGTATACCTATATACATTTTTGTGAAATGTACACATTTATAGATGTTTTGTCATGCAATAGGCTCGTATAAGTACTTTGTATCATAGAATGTTGTGGGGGAGGAGTAGTATGGGATTGCAATTGCGAGATTTGAGAAGTGTGGACTAGAGCAGGGCTTTTCAACCAGTGGTATGGGTACCACCTGTGGTACATTGGCACCTTGCAGGTGGTACGCGACCATCCTAGAAAAGTGGTAGCAGGGGAGGGGAATGAGCTGAACCGGTGGCAGCACCGCACAAGCCTGAGTGAGAGATGGCTGGAGCTGCAGGGCTGTCAGGGCTCAGCGGAAGTGCCAGGATCAGTGCCGCTTTCCAACTGATCGGCGCTTCTTTGTGGCTGTCAGTGGAAGCGTCAGGATCAGCGCCAGGCTCCAGCTGGAGCTCGGCACTGATCCTGGTGCTTCTGCTGAACCCTGAAGAAGCACCAATCAGCTGGAGCTCAGCACTGATCCTTGTGCTTCTGCTGAGCCCAGAAGAAGCGCCGATCAGCTGGAATGTTGCAGCATCTCCAGGGTCTTGTGATTTATATTCAGTTGCTTGGCAACTGATTCATATTTATGACAGTCAGTGTCCCAGGGTCATGTGAAGTGACCAAAACCTGCTGCAACCACCCATCAGATGGGGGGGGAATAAAAACCAAACACCCCCCACCCCACCCCCACTGCCAATCCTCAACAGAAATGCTCACAACAATGAAAACCTCGGACAGGAGGAAGAGCGTCGCCAGGTGGGCAGGCAGGTGTCTTGCTCAGCTGTGGCTTGGGGGGCACTTTTTTCAGTGCCATTGTAACTTCTAAGAGTCACTAAGCGAACTGTTGTAAGTTGAGGACTACCTGTACTTTGTCACTTTTTTCATTTTTTTTTTTTTTTGGTCATCATGTTTTTGACACCTTGCTAGGCAACTGGTGGTACTTGGATATTGCCATATCCTAAAAGTGGTACAATGGGTGAACAGGTTGAAAAGCCCTGGACTAGAGTGGATAATTATATCCAGTCTGTGTATTTAATAAGAGACCAGTGAATCAGGTCAGCTTATTTTAAGATTTTAGAGGCCAAACAGAATTGCCAAGCGTTATTAACATGAAGGCATGCACCTAATCAACTTAGGTTTCTGATGTACCAATTTAGAGTCATATGAGCAACTAGGGATTATTCCATGCTATGGAAACAAATAAACCCCATCAGGTAGTAAGAAGGCAGGCTAGAATATTATTCTCCTGGTATAACTATCAAGTCTCCAAGACATTTTCCTTCCTGAAATGCAGAATAAGATGGTACCTCTTGTTATTTAATATACAGCTATATTTGTAAAGGAATTCTTTCTCAATAATGTTGTGACAGCAATCTCTATCGCATCTGATAGATCACTTTCCTATATCACAGTGTTTCTCAACCTCAGCAACTTTAAAATGGGTGGACTTCAACTCCCAGAATTCCCCAGCCAGCATAAGCTGATAGCACAGCTGGCTGGGGAATTCTGGGCGTTGAAGTCTACCCATCTTAAAGTTGCCAGGTTTGAAAAACATTGCTCTATCACCTTTAAGCAGCTTCTGAACAGCTTCCCTGAGGCTATTACCTCATCTTGCCCCAAAGTGTCACTGCCCATGTAGTTTATTTCATATGAAGAATATTTTAGAAGGGAGGAAGATTCTGTCAGATACAGGTAATCCTCAACTTACAACAGTTCGTTTAGTGACCATTTGAAATTACAATGGCCCTGAAAAAATGACCATTTTTCACACTTACGACCGTTGTAGCATCCCCTTGGTCACATGATTTACATTCGGATTCTTGACAACTGACTCACATTTATGAGAGTTGCAGTGTCCCAGAATCCCCTTTTGCGACCTTCTGGCAAGCAAAGTCAATGGGGAAACCAGATTCACTTAACCGTGTTACTAATTTAACAACTGTAGTGATTCACTTAACAAATGTGGCGAGAAAAGTTGTAAAATGGGGCAAAACTCACTTAACAAATTTCTCACTTAATAGCTTAAATTTTGGGCTCAATTGTCATAAGTTGAGGACTACCTGTATGTCCCATGGTAGTGCTTGAAGTAGTATAGCATGTATATTGTCTACTTTATCTAGGCATTATATCTCAGAGCATAAAGAGACAGTGATGCCAGAAAAAAAAACCAGGAACATTTTTAGAAAAGCACACACCCATCGTTAAGGAACAGGGCTACAAGGTTTCTAATTCCTTATGTTCATATACTTCTCTTTCTTTTTTTCCACTTATCCCAACCTGTCACAGCACTTGGATCAGCATCGGTTTCTATGGAAACAGCGAGACCAATGATGGAGTATACCAGGTCACATATTCGTTGCTCAATGCTAACCACACGCTAAGCTCCATTGACAGTCTGGTAAGTGAACAAATGGGGAGGGGGGCAAGAGATCAAGGAAACACCTCTGAATATTTATGTAACCCCTTGTCCCCAGATGAAACTTGGAAAGACATTTATATTCACATCCTAGAAATGAATCAAAGGTTGAAATTAGTTGTCAACAACCCTGGATGAGATTAGTGATTCCCGTCTCAGGTTTCTTTCGGGGATACATAATGAGTGTGAATCTGATAGGCTCTGAATGTATGTTCCAAGGGCAGCTAACGTGATGTCTTATGGCTACTAAAAGGTTATTTATTATTTTACAAGTATTGGTGTGCGGGTGAATAGAGCAAAAGCAGCATACTGATAGAAGACAATATTTGTAGCTCAAGATTGAACTGTGGGGGTCTTCTTTGAGCTTGGTTGTTTTCTTGCAAATAATTCATTACCAAACCAGGTAACATCATCAGTGCTAAAAGGGAGTGGGGAATTGCTCTCTTTTTTTGTATTAATGGCTCAATACTAGATGAGCAGAGATTAACATCAAGATTAGCAATAGACCAACAATCAAGACTTAAACAATACTCCAATCAAGGAACTACCAACTCCGAAAACAAGCTAATAGCAAATCACAGCCTAATCAAGGAACCACCAGTAAAAAGAGAGCAAACCCCACTCCCTTCTAGCACTGATCACATTACCTAGTTTGGCATTGAAATATCTGCAAGAAAACAACCAAGTTCAGAAAGCACCAACAACCCCACAAAAGCAGTATGATATAAGGTACACCGTACGGCATAGTCCTCTTCTATGGACAAGACCGAAGGCATGTTCTACCTGTACATCCTACTGAAGACATGTCCTACTGATAAGTGAAGCCTTGCAGATGTTCCCAGAAGCCTAACGTGCCTGTATCATAGGACTAGTATGGTTTCAAATAAGATCGCAGGATCCAATCTGGGTTGATTACCGGACCAAAGGTTTAGTCTTCCAAGCTTTTGGACTCCTGCTGGAGCCCATTCTCAGGGAACCTCTCTCTAGAACATTCCCCTAGAGAGAAGTTCCATGAAGATGGGCTCCAGCATGAGTCCAAAAGCTTGGAAGACTAAGCCTCTGGCCCCGGTGGCCAACCCAGATTGGATCCTGCAACATTATCCTGGGACACGTATATACACCTCCATTTGTCAAATAAGGTTCTCTGTGCTCTCTAAGCTTGGTTGTTTTCTTGTAGATGTTTCATTACCAAACTAGGCAACATCAGCAGTACTAGTAGGGAGTGGGGCTGGGTCTCATTTTATAAACCGGTGGCTTCTCCTGTCAGTGTTGGTGGGAGTGTTCTAACATCAAAGACCCAACAGTTCAGTTCTGAGCTACAAATATTCTCTTCTATGGACTCAAAATCCAAAAGTAGTTGCATAACCTGTGACTCATCAGCGATGCACAGATTAGTGGATAGTCAATTTAAGATTGTATTTGATTAGGGTTTTGTTCTGTTCTGAGCGTTGGTAAGGCATTGAGACGAGACAGGAGTAACAACAGTTGCTTCTTTATTCAATCTTCAACAGAACAACACAAAATGGCACGGATCCCTTTTATACCCCCTTGCAGGGAGCAGCATCAACCAATCAATGCAACGTATCTTTCCGGCCTTGCGCATGCGCAATAGGCTGGAGACAGCCTGTCTGGGCCGGGCAGCCTCGTGGTCTGCCTGGGACTCTCTGCAACTTCCTGCACCTGCTGTGTCAATCACAGCCCAAAACATAACACCCCTCCCCTCTTATTTCAAACACATAGAACTTACTATTTTACAATACTACAAATCTAACACATGTTCATTCTTTTAAGCGTGTTCTTATTTCTAAGGACACTTAACCCTACCCACCTACTAACAGGAACTTCACATAATCCTGAAAATAGTTTGGTGGGCCTCTGGCCCGCTCTGATTTTCTTGGAGCGGTTATAAGTGCCCGGTCTACAAACTCACCTGCCAGGCTCGACAGACCGGGACTTTGATGCCCACTAGGTACAGGCGAACCCACATCATGCTGACTGGCCGAGTCCTGTAAACCCAGACCAGAGTTCCTTGGTGGGGTGGAATTCCCCAGGTCCACGACAGACCCCTCTTGGGAGCAATGTCCCGTAGGCCCAAGACCAGCAGATGGAGTGGCCTGAACAACCGGTTGTGTGCAATTTCCCATGGACCCAGTGCCAGAGTCAGGAGCCGCCTCGTTGGCAAAACCCCTATGTGCAGAGTGCAAACCCCCGCTTTCACAGGAAGACTGAGATCCACGATCATGATCGTGGTCCTCCTCCCCACCGAAAGCAGAGTCAGGAGCGGAAGTGTGACTGGGTAGCCTCCAGCGCAGCTGGTCAATGTGCTGACGCAACACACAACAATCGTCCAGGGCCACTTTGTATGACAGCGGCCCAGTGACTTTGCAGACCACTGCTGTCACCCAGAGATGTCCAGGTCCATAGTTCCTTGCCCAAACCGGATCGCCCACCTGTAGTCTCCTAGGTGCCCACGGCTGTGACACCTGTGAAGCCACCCGGTCTGGGTGCAATCTGTCCAGTTTGGTAATGAGACGGCGACCCCAACGGAGTTCAGCTGGGCTTTTCCCAGTAGCTGTGCAAGGTGTGGTGCGTTGGCAAAGAAGAAAGTCAGCTAACCTGTGATGCCAGCTCCCATGAGTGAACCTCTTCAAGGCATCTTTGGTTGTGCGCACCATGCGCTCAGCTTGGCCGTTGGAAGCTGGATGGAATGGTGCCGAAGTAGCATGATGGATCATGTTGGCCTGTAGGAAAGCCTGAAACTCAGAAGAAGTGAATTGAGGTCCGTTGTCAGAGACAAGAAAATCTGGGAGTCCATGGGAGGCGAAGATGCCCCTCAACACCTGGATGGTCCTGGCAGTCGTCGCAGTGGACACTGGAACGACCTCTAGCTGTTTAGAGTGACTGTCCACAACAATGAGGAAGAATTGCCCCTGAAAGGGGCCAGCGTAGTCTATATGAACCCTCGACCAAGGAGCATGTATTTCCTCCCACCTGTGTTCCTCCCAAATGCCTGTGGCATTTCAGGCCTGGACTGTTGGCAAACCTGGCAACCCTGGACCTGGGTCTCAATCTCCTTATCAAGCCCCGGCTACCAGAGATAGCTGCGCGCAAGCGCCTTCATCCAGACTATTCCCGGATGTCCCTCATGCAGAGACTGCAAGACTCTAGTCCTCAATGAGGTTGAGATCACTACCCTGCTACCCCATAGGACACAACCCTTAAAGGTGGATAGCTCATGCTTCCTTTTCCATAATCTCTGAACATTAGTGCCAGGACACGTATCAGGCCATCCTGACAGCACCCATGTTAGCGTGTGATCATTGGCTGTCTCTGCAGCCACATCCCTTGCATTGACGGGAGACTCAGGCAAATCCTGGATAGCTAATATGTGGTTAGCTGGAGCAGGATCTGATTCTACAAGTTGTAGAGGCAACCTGCTAAGGCCATATGCATGGCCCATTTCTTTGCCTGGTTTGAGAACCAGTGAGTAGTCATATGCAGACAGGAAAATTGACCACCTCAACATTCTAGGAGAAATTATGTGTGGGGTTTGCTTGTTTGTTGTAAACAACCCCAGCAGTGGCTTATGGTCTGTAAAGACCGTGAAGTGGCGACCATACAAAAAGTCATGGAACTTTTTTATGCCAGCCACTATGGCCAAGGCTTCTCTGTCTATCTTTGCGTAATTATGCTCAGCAGATGACAGAGTCCTAGAATAGTAGGCTACAGGGACTTGTGTCCCATCAGCCTTCAGGTGACTTAAGACAGCCCCGATCCCATAAGGGGATGCATCACAGGCTATACACACTGGCAGCTGCTCATTGAAATGAGCGAGAACAGCATTTGAAGACAACAATGTCTTGACCTCTGCAAAACTCCTTTCGTGGACTTGTGTCCACTTCCATGGAGCCTGTTTGTCCAAGAGCCGGTGTAACGGCTCTGCCATTGCAGCCTTGTGAGGTAGGAAGGAGTGATAGAAGTTTAGAAGCCCAAGGAAGGCTTGAAGCTCGCTCTTCGACTTGTGTTCTGTCCCCCGTCCGACCCACACCCCCCAACCAGTCAGCCGAGGCCTGAAAAACTGCTCGGCACAGCCAAAGACAAATGAATTTCTTGGCAGCAACTTCGTAGCTGCCTGCCAAGCCTTTACTGATAATGCACAGCAAACAGAGATAAATCCAAGATAACTTGCCAGAGTGCTTGCAACAGAATATCCAGCAAAA